TTCCTGCTTTTATTGTCCATCTTTCTTCCCAGCCTGTGGACAATGTCAACAGCCTCATCCATCTTTGCGTCCATCTCAGGTGCAATCTTACCGAGGATTTGTATGACATGTGACCTGAGGTCTTCATCTTTTTTTTCTTCTATGCCTTTGATACGGAGACACCACCTCATTCTATATCTTTCTTGTTCTCTCACCCTCTCAAGATCACAATTCTCCTTGCGCAGATGTTCATTTTGTATCTCCAAGTCCTTTACTCTTTTCTTGCACTCATTCACCTCTTCCGTGTTGAACTGAATCGCCTTCGTTAAACTTGCAATCATGGCGCTACTTTGTTTAGACTGCTCACTTAAATCCGCCAGCTTCTCATCCACTCTCTTTTCCAGATTTAAGATTGCCTCCAGAATGGTTTCGTTGGAGATTTTATCTTTCTCTCTGTCAGCTGTTGGCTTAACCCTTTTCTCCGCAGGAGTTTTACTTGGCGTTGAAGGAAGGGAGCCGTCTCCGCGATTTCTTTTACTTTGCACAGTAACCTCCATTGCATAGTCGTGCATCATTACTTTAGCCTCATCGTTCTTTTCGATATTAGGCGACAGATCTATCCCTTTGGGGTCTACTTTTAGCTTGGCAGGTTTAATCAATTTTTGTGTAGACATCTTAACATTAAACAGTCGGAATTACTTACTTCAAGCAAACTTTGGGGACCACTATCACGAGCTTCGAAAAACACAACCGCTCAACCCGCCATCTTCGCACCCCTCCCTGTGACGGAATTGTTATTCCACTTACCATATTGTGATGCCGTGTCCCGACTCCCGGCCGGAGGGAGACCAGGGGTAGGCAAGTTCGGTCCTAGAGATCTGAATATTTGGGTTGAACTGTTCTGGAACAGTGTTGTAAATACAACTTAACCACTGATTTGTAGTCGTGTCCTCTTTTAGAAGACCAAACAAAGTAGTTTCGCTTTCGCAATGAAACAGCATTTTCACAACATGGCAGCGGCGCCAACAATAAAGTTACGCCTTCTTTCTTTGCGTGAACATTTGGGTGGCGTTATGCAAATCTTCCCACATCGTGATGTAGACATGTGGGGGCGTGTTTAAACGAGGTGTTTTAGGAGGGCGTGGACGAGTCTTAAATTTTATAAAGAATATCTCTTTGGGTTTGAAACTTTAGTCTTTGCAACTTTAGGGATCTTATCTATTCATGAACAGCTTGTAACACTCCAAAGAGAAAGGAAAACCTGAAATCGCATCATATGACCCCTTTAAAGAGCTGGTCTCCCAACACTTTAAATAAAATGTTATTAGCACATTAGTAGGCCTATTCAGCTTATTTCAGCATGATGCAAAAGCATCGTTGTTGTAGGTGAAAGGGTATATTAAAAAAAGTGTTAAAAATAAAGAAAATGACACTTGATATGCCTGAATTTACATGACAGACAATAAGGTATAACTTAATCTATAAGTATATAAATGTAGAAGTTATCATATAATATTTGAGACTGCAAGAATCGCACATATATTGTCAATGAGCCGTTTTATTGTGTTTTACAGCACATGGTGTCCTCTCAAGTTTGTGCTGTGTTTGGCAATGATTCAGTCAGTCAGGCATTTAAATGCCAAATGGCTACAGTTAATCCAAATGGTTGGAGCACTGTAATTATTTCTCAGTATAATAAAGATATACAGTAGATGACATGAGATTTACAAAGATTTGTTTCTGTCTGTGTCTGCGATTCTTCATCTTATGTGAAAGATGTGTCATTTCCATCTGCTGAAAATAAAATATTCCTTAAGTCACTGGAGTTGCCGTTCTCTCCTGTAGACGTTAAACCCTGGCAAAAATAGCAGTAGAAAACCTCAGAGACAAATTCTTATAACACTATATGCATATTAGTGTATGTTTATAGCCTAGAAAAAATACTCACACTCATGTTGCAGTCAAAGTGGCTATGAGAAAAGTTACTATCAAGCATGTCATCTTCAAGTATAGATTCCCTGTAAAGAAACGAAAGACATTTCAAAGACGCTTTTAATTTTTATCTCATTAAACTGTCCATGTAATGAGTAGTACATACCTTTTTCTTTTTTTATTCAGCACAAAAAGGACAGCACCAACAATAAATATCACAAAAAGTGTCACTCCCACTCCAACGCCAATACCTACAGCTAAACAAACCAAATATTTGAGAAAAAAGTATATGCTGTAGGATCTGACAAGTCACACTTCACAGCACAATCTAATTAATTTACCCAAATATGTATGAGCAGGGTTCAAAATGAACACCGTTCAAAAGTTTGGGGTCAGTAAGATTTTTTAAAAGACATTTATAATGTTACAAAGTTATGTTAAATTTCTATTTCAAATAAACGCTGTTCTTTTGAACTTTCTATTCATCAATGAATCTTGATTAAGATGAATGAATCAATGAAAGATACTTTCCCACAAAAACATTAAGCAGCACAACTGTTTTCTGCATTGATAATAAGAAACGTTTCTTAAGCAGCATATTAAGAGTGATTTCTGAAGGATCATGTGACACTGAAGACTGGAAAAAAATCTAACCGACCACAAACTTTGGAATGGAAGTGTACATAGTTTATGTCACAATTATAAGACAATATTTTGGTGATGATAAAGTAACATTAATGACTAGAAACGTTTTCAGTTCACTCTCCATTGGCAGGTGTAGCAAAAAGTACATTTGGACCCTGCTTGTGAGATTATGTAAGACTGGCATGCAATCATATACTTACTGTCACGGTGGTGTGGAGGTGGAGAGGTGGGATATGAATCACAAGGCCCGGGAATGATGTGAATATCATCAATAGCTATACTTCCTTTGGGACCTGCTCCCTTCAGGAATTCAAATATAAACTGTGGAGAGAGGAGAAAAACAATGATGTACTGTACAAATGTTTTGTTTTGAGTGAATCTTAGAATGATTCAAGTTGATCCTGTGAAGTCTGCATGATGGCGTTTGATACCCAGAAAGGCTCTCGGTATGCTACATAGACGTTGCCTCTCCTCCACACATCGCCCTGATCTCCTGACTCCTCCCATACTATCTGGCCAAACTTATTCCCGCTGTTATGGGCGGTCCTGGGAAAGAATCATCTCCATGAATTGTGGTCCATGTACATACTGATAAAAGGTGTTTTTTGGCCATGGTCCTGTACCTGTTATTTTTGTATAACTTGAGCGTTCCAACATTGTATCCATACATATGATACCAGAATGTGAAGCAGTGCCCTCTGCTGTCAGGGGTGAATATCTCACTCAGGATCATGGCAGTATCTCCCCAGGCCCCCACGGAACTGTCCATATAAAGGTAATAACCTAAAAACATACGAGCATCACTGTCACTGTTTACACCTGGTATTTAAATGAAAGTGTCACCACTTGTGATTATATTTTAACAAAGGCCCTACATTTTATAACTATAAAAATCACTCCTTTAGTGTTACGGCCTGCGAGTTGATAAAAGCATGTTTGTTTTAAATGCAAAGTTTGCAAATCATCAAAAGAAAATCCTGTCTTTTTAATCATTTACTAAAAAGACCTGTTTAGATTCAATTATTTATTTGTCAGTGATCTTTTTCCTGTTACCTGTTGCCACTAGGTGACTCGCTGTACCATTTACATGAAAAACCCAAGTCTTATTATTCTTTATTAAAATTTGTATACTACAAATTCGTAAATAAAGAGTGTTTTCAGCCATCATTTTTGATTCTTTCACAAACAAAACACCACTACTAAATAAAAAAGGATTTTAATATAAGCAAGCAGAAATGTATTATTTTCAAGAACAATTCTCTCAAATGAGAGGTGAGTAGGTGGGCCTTCAGTGTTGTTCAGATTTTCAGTTTATACCACAAAAGCAACGAGGTCATGCGTTTTTTGATGACCTTTGATTATGGCTGGAACAACAGTAGCGCAAAACATTTTGAAACCCACTGTAACGATATTTAAAGCATTAACCTATGTAACATTTGGCCCTCTAGCGGTTACAAAATAAAACTGCATGTGTTTTGCAGCAGAACATTGCTTTGGCTATTTTACTGTGACAATAAACTTCTAGTTTCACACTATCCACAGCCGGAGCAACTTTTCTCTGTGTACTGATATGAACAAACACACATGTGTGAGCTATATGTGTATGCACTTTCCACTGAAAGCTGTCCCACTGACAGCTCTAAAATATAAAATATGTTTATCATAGTGTATTTGGGTAAAATAAAGACTTGATTTTTTTGCACTCTATCATTAATAACATTTAGCTATTTTATCAAAACAAAATTTAAATAGTGTAGTTAGACACTATGATCGGATCGCTTGAAAACAGATCTTAAAGAGCAGGTCATATGGGTTTTTGAAAAATATCTTGTTTGGAGTTTATAACGTAGATATCCTTAAATGCAAACAATCTGCAAAGTTGTTAATCAAAAAAGTGCATGATAAATAAAGATATTGTCTCTCAAAAGAGAGTCGATTCTGAATCGCCTTAACGAGTCGTCATATTTTCGAATCTTTTGCCCGTTCCCATTATACGTCACTGGGTAACACATTTGCATAATCCCTGCCTGCCGAAATACGAACTGAGTCTGACCTGCCCACAAAAACTTCCGCTAGTTACTTTAGTGTGTTTACATCATGTTGAGAAGACGCTGTGTTCAAGGATACCACAGAAATACAATTCGAACCTTTTGTTGTGTGCATGTCATTTTACCAAGGACTGCTTCTCTAATCTTGGCTTTTATCTTCGTTGGTTTCTAATCTTCTTAATTTGGACTAACAAACTCTCCGAACCACAACCTGTAAGTACGATTGATACGTTATGTGTACATTTTCAATTGAGTGCTCAAAATATCAAGTTTTTGTGCTAATATGTGATGTATAGGCCTACCTAGTGCAGCTTTAGGTTTCCAGGTAAAGCACGATATTACTGT